ACTGAGATTCGAAAATAATCAGTTTACATTTCAGCGCGCACCGATGGTGATGTAAAATACTGTATATTATAGATACCGCGATATATCATCGCCGGTGTCGTTAGAGCACATCGGGCTCCGACTGTTAGCGACCCAGAATCGCCAGTATACAATGTAAAACGCGATGAATGACCGTCTTCGATTGGTGGAGAAGACCGCACCAAAAAGGGTATATAAGCAGGCGATTTTCAGTCGCCGGTTGAATTTGGTCGCTCAGTCATTTCGTACATATACCTTCTTTCGAATAAAAGTAAAAATCAAACTTTTAGGAAAACGAATTAATATCATATTCATTTGAGAAATAATTCAAGCCGTAATCCCAATACTATAAATACTATACTATATACTATAATAATATATAATGTATACTATATATATAATACTATATATAATACTATATGATATATAATATAATACTATATAATATATAATATATACTATAATAATACTATAAATACTATAATGAATTTGGTCGCTCAGTCATTTCGTACATATACCTTCTCTCAAATAAAAGTAAAAATCAAACTTTTAAGAAAAAGAATTAATATCATATTCATTTGAGAAATAATCCAAGCCATAATCCCAATACTATAAATACTATACTATATACTATAATAATATATAATATATACTATATAATATATAATATAATACTATATATAATACTACATAATACTATACTATATATATAATATATACTATAATAATACTATAAATACTATTTCGTACATATACCTTCTCTCGAATAAAAGTAAAAATCAAACTTTTAAGAAAAAGAATCAATATCATATTCATTTGAGAAATAATCCAAGCCGTAATCCCAATACTATAACAAGGTGCGCAAAGGAAATCGGAAATCCTTTTGTGGTAATTATACCTTCATCCCCTGTCTGAAAAAGTCTTTTTCCCCGACAGCTACGTCGCGTCGAGCGGCGTCGTTCCCAAAGAATACGGAAAGATGAATATCGTAAGGGTCGCCGGTAGATCGGTAATTTCGAACTTCGGAGAATCACGAATCGAGGAATATCGTATTGTGGGCGTGGGTACATTCGACGAAGCGTTTGGCGACAGGATGACACACGTATTCCTTGCGCCGGGCGTGCAGGACTGGTCCGACAGAGCCATGCGGTGATTGTTTGTTTGTTTGTTTGCAGGCACTGCGAGAGAGGGCCCGGGCACGGCCGGTTGCATTGCTACAGGGAAAAAGGGGGAACGATGAAGGGAGGTAGATGGGTATATCGTGTTCCGTTTCTATTCTATGGGTACGGGGATGCAGTGGATGCGGTCGGGGCACGACGATACCGGCCTGAAAACCGAATGTCAGCCAAGAAAGAAACGTCACAATATTCCGCGTGTCTGCGGCCCAAACCGATCCCCGGTCTCGGTGCACCCTCCTCCCCCCGGCGTCGCGCTCTGCTTTCGGAAACACGAGAGGCGTACGAAATACGGTCGGACTTTGCCATTCTATTTTCATAGATGTCTGTTTACGTGCTCGACGTCGGAAAGGGGATGGCTCTGCGGACACAAATGGCCGTATAACACGCGAACGAAAATAAAAGGTGCGAAACGCGCGCGCGCGCGCGCAGGGGAGAGAGAGAGATCGAGGGAGATCGTTCGGCGGCGTAGGATCGGGGATCGGATCCGGCGACAGGATCTTTTCGGAAACAATAATATCGTCGAAAAGATACCGACGACACCGTCTTCTCGGACGCCGGCATGTCCTTAAACGCTGCGTAACATTCCGATTTTATGCGCGTCTCGCCCGACGACGACCTCCCAATTTGCCATCGCGCGAGTTGACGCGTAAATCACCGATCGTCTCTCGTTGACCGAGAAATCCTTTCGGCATCTGCGCGCACACAGTCTATGTAAACAGACGAGCAGAAACGCGGGGAGACGAGCGGCACACGAGCGCGCGGGAACGCGTGTTGGTGTGCGCGCGCACGCACACCGACGCAAACCGTACCTTTCCCGAAAAAGCAAGCGTGTCCTGGCAGGACACGAGGTCTCCGCGCCGCCAGTAATCCGACGTCCGAATGTTTGACAGAATAATTTTCACGTTAGCAGGGTGCGTTATGCTCTTTTATGCTCGCGCCTGGCCCTAAGCATTGTCACCGAAATAAGCCGTATCCCACACCGTACGGCCCCTTCAGCTTTTATGCGCTTTTACGCGTATATACCGTCGCCGTCACCGTCGACGTCGTCGACGCCGGTCGCTTTTACAAAACCCAGGCAACCCCACGGCACCGCTGCAATACGACGCGGAAACCAGCCAGGAGCAAGAAAGACGAACAGATTAAAACCTAAGCGAAACGGCGCTGACGGCCGCGCTCTGCCACCGGTAGCTTCTTCCTATCCGGGCGTTCCCGTTTTCACGGTTACACTTATTTTTCCTTTGTTCCCGTCCTCGGGAACTCCATTTTCGAATACAGCAACGTACGCGCGCTCGATCTTCGAGAAGACCAGCGACGCCCAGCGACGCGGCCACGCTGGAACGCGTGGGTCAAGATCAGGGTTTTTTCTGTCACTCGATCCCGAAATCGGTCGGAATCCGTCAAAAGTCTGTCACCGGGCCACGGCGAAGAATCTCGTTCCTCGAAAGGTTTGCCTACGCGGGGACCGGCTCGTGGGGGAGGGAGGCAGGAGGAGGGGAAGAAGGACGGAGGTCGCCAGGAATGCAAGTAGGTGGGCCCTTGCCACTTAGATTTGACACCTTTCGGTCCAATAAAATCAAATGGTTCGGTGGAATGTGGTCCTCCGGTGTCTCGGCAGAAGTGTCGTTTCCACGGCGAGGACGCATCGTCTCGTTGGTTGAATGCCGGCCGAATTCCCTCCGAGTCCGAGGATTACATCTCGAACCCTTGATAAGGGTTACAGTTCCATCGTCGACTTTCTCCTCGCGATCTTGATCGCTGTCCGAACGTTCGGGCTCTCCTCGGCTCGGGTTTTCGCGATCGACGAAAGAAAAGGACCGACGATCGACGGGGCGGAATACGGCGATAATCGACGGAACACAAACGGTTATGCGAACGTTAACGCTTATATAATAACGATATGGCGGTGCTCGGTTTAGAAAGCCGCGTTTGCCACGCGTCCGTTTCGGTAAACCGTGACCGATCGCGCTACAAACTCCTCGTTTGTACCTATAGGGTGTCCCAAAAATGTCTCGCAATCCGAAAGTGGCGGATTCCTCGGGTCGTTTGAAGCAACTTTTTCCTTTACAAAAATTTTCTCCGAGGCACCGTTAACGAGTTATTAACGAAAAACAGTGACCAATGAGAGGCGAGCTCGGCTGGCGCGAGGCGACCGAGCCAATGAGCGGAACTGGGCTTCGCGCGGTGGTTGGCTGGGCCGCCTCGCGTCAGCCGTACTCGATTCTTATCGGTCACTGTTTTTCGTTGATAACTCGTTAACGGTGCCTCGGAGAACATTTTTGTAAAGGAAGAAGTTGCTTCGAATGATCCGAGAAACCCG